CGGGCTGCTGCTGCGGCTCCGGCTGCTGCTGCTAAAAGAGGACTGGGCTCAGCCCAACTCCTCTCTAATTATCCAGCACAGATCGGGCTGCGACGTAAGCACTCACTCAGATAGCGCACGCACTCCGCTCCTCGCTCCCTGCCTTGCTGGAGTACGAAGGCAATTTGAGAGGCATTCGAATATCCCGACCCCCAAGTTTAGCGTGCTCGTTGTCCCCATTCCCCTGCAGACTGCTGGGGCCGGCCTCGTCTGGCCAGGCGGGGCAGCGACGCCTTCCAGCCTCCCCACGCCCCTCTCTCACCCTTTGTGTACAAGACCCCAGAGCGGCCGGACCAGTAGCTGTTGTCCGTGGTAATTCACATTGACACCCATTTTCTAGTTCCTGTAGGAGGTAATTTTGATGTGGCAGGAGTACGGAAACATTTTGTACTTTCCGCATTTGTTGACAGAGATGTTTAATTTAGACAAGACCAGAGTGGTTCCAACGCATTGTGTTGATGATTAAGCCTCCAGAGGAACTTATATATGAATAGTTTTTCAACCGTAAACTCTCTCTGCTAAATTCCTAGTGAAGAAGGTGAAAATAAGCATGAGGCAAAGAAATTAATAGTACAATTCTCAAAGGAAGGAAAAATAGGCAATTCTGGACACATTTCTCATACTGAAGCATATGTGTTCTGGAGACACCCAGGATCTGATCTTTCCCTCAGTTTTATGCCTCTGTGTACTATTGTAGAATCATTCAAAATGAACAGGAGTCTTTGAGCTTAAGGTTCCTGTCCATGGATTTGAGGAAAAGCAATATTTATATTTTCAAAGCACAGCATGTGTTGCTAAGCATGTCACTAAGAGCAACATTTGACTTACAAACTCTAGAATGGGATCCCGAGTTCAAGTTAACATGGTACTTAGGCGTTCTAAATTCTATGGAATGGCCTGAAGAGGAAGTGATTCTTGAAGATAAAATATTTTTGTCATGCTTTGGTGACTATTAGAAAGCTCAAATTACAGGTACACTCTTTTCGTTGTTCCCAAGGTGATGGTTCTGACAAACAGGAACAAGAGGGTTGCATGGCAAACCTATACCATTTTATTAGTTAGATGAATGCAAAGTCATGTAGGAACCAAAGTAAAATAATAAATTACAGAGACATAGAAAGAGAGCCAGATATATTCTCGGAGAATTTACATATTACATGAGGGAGAGAGAAAATAAGCTACATATATGTATGGATGCATGTGTGTCAAGAGCTTTGGAAGATACAGTACTTTTCACTTAGAAGGAACAACAGTTCTACATTCTTGAAAATGGTAGTGCCTCTCTCTTGAGTGAAAGGACAGAATGCTTACTTGGAGTCCCTGCACTCCGAGTTACTCCATTGTAATTGCCATCTACTGTGTAGGCTTACATCACCCAACCCTCTTCTTTTAGCCCTGTGAAACTGGAGTTCAGAGGGCAGCACAAAATATGCACATACTGCCTGCTGTAGCTGAGTGATCAAGTTCTTCATCTTCAAACCTGGAAATTTGCAATGTCTATCAGCATCCATGAAATGATAGCCTATTAGCTTCTAAGGAGGGATAAGCCAAAAATTCTTCACCATACTTAAAAGCCATTTGCCTAATTTTGTGCTCTGAGAAGGAAAATATTAGACCATGTTTTCAAAAGAAATTTATAAAAAAAGATAAAGTAAAATTTTGTCTTGATGTGATCCATATTTAGTGGCAAAATTTTTATTATTTATTATATACCAATAATATAATTACTTCAAGTAGGTTTATCTCAATATGTCAATATGTAATATAAATAGCCTCAGTCACACAGTAGAATTGTTGAGTAGGTCAGCTAGATAGCCATAACAATATTTTTGTTATATTTGCAAACTATTAAATCTTCCCTCCAATAATTTTACTATAATTTTCTACTTGTACATTTGAAATGAGTTCTAAAACCAAAATAAACACCCCAAGTCATCTAAGAATTAAACAAGGTATTTATCCAAATGACATCAGAGCATTTGATTCTCATTTAATATTAATGTATCCTGCCAGATTAATGCAAAGTAATGTAGAAACTGGAATAAGAGAATAAATTAACTAAACAAATGGATTAATCAAACCCTTACTGGAAAAATAATTAAATCAAGTACTCCAAGGTTTTTCAAGCAACTGGAAAGTTTAGTGATGTATTTAAAGTGGATAGAATAAGCAGTTTTTGTTTAAAACATTTATCCCATTTATTGTTAAATAAAATATACATACGAAAAGAAGCACAACACAAAATATACAGCTCAATCATGTACTGCAAAGAGAAAACCGGTGTAAATATCCAACCAGGTGAAGGACTAGAACATTGCCAATAACCAAAAAGTCCTCCTGCCATCCCCTCCAATCTACTAGTCTCTCCTTTCCAACAAAGGGAGTCGTACTATCATAATTTTAAAAGTAATCTTAGTTTTTGTTTTGATTTGTAATTTTATAGTTAGGGTCAAATCCATGATGCAATGGTGATGTACTACTCAAGAAAAGCCTAATCCCACATGGCAACAGAAATTCCTATACAGGGCCTGGTTAGCCTGAAACACACTGGATACATGTACACTCACCCAGGAATCACACTTCAGAAATTGCACTTTGTATTAGAGGGTCTTCAAAAACTTCATGAAAATGAATACTATGAAAAAAAAAACTAAGCATGAATTTCAAAGTATGCTTCACCAAAATAAATTCATACTTAAATTTCATTTACCTAGGATCTTTCTGAAGTACCCTAGTATACTTACTACACTATATTTTTCTGTTCTACCAAGGACACAAATTTGGGTTGTTTGCACTTTGAAGCTATTATGAATCATGAAGTACAAACATTCTGGTACACGTCTGTTGGTGTGCATGGACATGAATGAATTTGTTGTGCTATATAGGATGTGCATCCTCAAATTTAGTAAGCAATGCCAAACAATTTTACAAGCACCTGTACATTTTACCCTTCTACCAGCAGTTTATGAGCACTCAACTATAGCCATTCCTATTTTGAACTGAGAATTGTATGACACTTTTGGTATGCATTTTCATGACTACTGATAAGATTGAGCAAGTTTTCACACTTTGAGGGAGTCATCTGTACACCATTTTGTGTGGAGTGTCATTTAAAAGATTTCGTTCATTTTTATAGAAGGTTAAATGTGTTATTATTACTGACTTGTAAGAGCTCTTTATAGATTCTGAATATGAGCTCTCGGTCAGTCGTATGTGTTATCTTCTCCTGGACTGTGGCCTGCCTTCTTATTCTCTTAATAGTGTCTATTGATTAACATAATTTTAAGTTTTTAATGTATTTCAATTATTCTCCTATGAATAGTGCTTTTTTAAGTCATGTTTAAGAATATGCTACAATTACTCATACTCTCTGATATGCCTTCTAAAGACTTTATCGTTTTTCCTTTCACATTTAGATACAATCTACCTTCAGCTACATTTAATGCACAATGTGAGAAAGTGGTTAAGAATTTCTTTTTCCATTTGAATACTCAATTGACTCAACATCGTTTTATGATGACTGTTGAAAGACCATCTGTTTTTGCCTACTGGACAGAAAGGCAACCATGGTCACAAAATGATTGTCTATATATGCAGAAATTATAATTAAATATCATTTTTAAGAGAGATTTTTACTATAGGGCATGTGCATTTACCAGAGAGACAGAAAGCAATAAATCTGTCCCCTACCCCCACCCCGAGAAGACAGTAATGATACAATCCCTTCTCCTCCATTCTCCTCTTAAGATTTTGGGCACACGTGTACAAGCACCTGGCAAATTCAATACAAATTTTAAAGCCCACATTGTTTTTATAAAAATCAATATTCTTCAGTGGTTTTCTAAGTGTGTGCTCCTGTCTAGTATCACTAGCATCACCTGAGAATTTGTTCCAAATCAAGATATCCAACACCTAAATCAGAAATCCTTGCAAAGATATACAGACTTTCAAAGTTGGTTGGCCAACCCTTTGAGTGATTCTAATTTATACTAAGGCCTGAGAATGATAGCTCTGGATTTAAAAGAGGTCTCTAAAATTTCAGAGCAAGTATCAAATTAATAAAAATATGGGACCGACAGTTGGCATAATGTCTATGTCACTGGACTCCCACATAGTCGACCATGGTTTAAGTCCCAGACCTGGTGGCTTAAACTCATGCCGGGCACGTGTGCGTGCATGCCCAAGATCCTGAGAGGAGAATGGAGGAGAAGGAATTGTGGCGTGGCCATCCCCCCTCGGGGGT